GTTGGACTATGTCTGTAATTTCTATATGGCGGTACACTATGTGAAACCGAAAATGGAACAACAAACAAATTATGAAAGATTTTGAACGTTAATAACTCAGCTGCCCCTGGACCTATTTTAATAATTTTATCACTAATCGATTAGTAATATTTCTATGCATCTGTTAAGTTTAAGATTTTATCATTTTTCAAAATGTCACTATTGAAAATTGCAAGAATGTGCAACTGTTACTTTGATAATTAAAATTATCACCGTTTGCCTGCAAAAGGCGATTTGCCTAACACAGATTTCAAAGTTGAATTCCATACAGTCTCACCAAACGGTGTTTATTCAATCACTTCGTAGGGAGTCACGCTCATTCCAAACAACATACAGCTCACCAGCCTCATCTGTGTTTAACTCCCTAATAGCTCAGCATTACTAAGCCATAACAACAAAACGGTCCTTTTCAGGACCACCATAAATTTGTAAAATAGTATTTTTGGACATTTGTCAAGGTTATCAATCGGATGTCAGTTCTCATATCCAGATAGAGCTGGAATTTGGGTGTAACAGCTTTTGTAAACAATTACTTCTTGTGATGATTTCATGAAATTTAAGGCTTGCTCACGCAAATCAACATTACCATTATGTAGGGTAAGACTTCTTCTACCCGACGGTAATGTTAGTTTGCGTGAGCATGCCTTGAATTCCTAAAAATCATCGAGTAAAGTGATTGTTTTCAAAAGCTGTTACGCCTAATTCCAGCTCTATCTAGATATGTTTAAATCTAACATACCATGTACTTTAAGGCAACATTGAGAGTCGCGGCATGAAAGTGGTCTGATTTTGATCCAGAGATGATGGATTTTAATTCTTGATACGCCAATCGATAGGAATATTTTAAACAAATCTGCTAAAATTAAGACTTTATCATTTTTCAAAATGTCACTATTGAAAATTTAATGGATGAGCAACTGTTGCTTTGATAGTTAAAATTATCACCGATTGCCTGCGAAAAGCGATTTCCTTAACACAGTGGTGGTGTTCTACAGTACACAACGAAAGGCTCCCCACAAGCAGCTAGCTATCAAGGCTGGCCTCAACCGCTGATCGGATTCAGTTCCAATCACCGTGTGTGGTGGTGTCCGGTCGTCGGCATCAGCAGCAGCAACAATGCTTTCGGCACGTGGCGTTGAACATTGTTCTCCAGTACACAACGAGCTGCAGCCCACATGAGCATCCATAGAAAGAGGAAGAAGCTGCACCGCTATTGATCGGAATTAGTAGCTCTTCGTGAGTCGCTGTGGGCCATCTATGTCAAGCGCGTCAAAGTAAAGAGTGTAAACAGAGAGAACCCCCGCTCAAATTCCTATTCTTACACAAAATACAAGCTCCTGCTGCAGTTAACGAATAAGATTTATGATATAAGACCACGTAGTCCTACGTCACCATTGCTTATAACCCCATAGGGCTGTGCCTTGTGGTTTTTTTAATATCAGTGATTAAAACTAGGATTTATCAGGATACGAAATTTGAATTCCAAGTGTATTAATAAAGAACAGTCTCTCACAAATTTTGGAAAGCGGTGAGTAGGGGTTGGTAAATATGACAAACCATTCTGAATGAGGATGTTTATAGAGAATCAAGATAAATTAGTAGTTCATTATTATATCAGGATTAATCCTGGAAACGCTCAGTACTGGGATACTACTTGATACTTGATGGGCTACGAATCGCCTTGTTGATTCTGCGTCGAACGAAGTAGTCTTCTCCACTGGACTCGGTCCTGAGCCAATCGATTCCAGTCGCCACGAACGTTTAGCGACCTGATGTCCTCCTCAACTGCAAAAAGCCAACGTGTGCGAGGTCTATCCCGGAGTCGACGACCTCCACCGGGTTTTATGCTGAATATAATCTTTGCTTTTCGTTCTTCTGGCATCCGCTATGGTAGCCCCCATTAGCCATTAGTTGGAGTTTCGGACGTGACGACTATACACAAGAATTGATCAAGAATCACACTAGTTGTTTATTCCACTCATATTTTATATCTTGCATTCTAGTACTTCAGCTACACTTCAAGAGAATGTTTACGCCTAGCTTATCGTACGATTCTCTTTTTCTCTCTACACATGCTCTGTCATACATTCTTACGTGAGCATGAGTGACCGTCGTAGCTTACGTTCTTATGACCTAGTTGTGGGCTTCTGGTGTGGTGGCATGAGGAAATAAGTAAGTTTACTGGTAAGCACATTGTGTGCTTGGAAGTTGGTTTTGGAAACGATGACCAAACATTGATGTTTAAAGTTAAGCAGAAAGGAATGTAGGAAATGGATGTTTAAAGGTACACCACACCGCACTACATGCCCCAGCCCACCGTAGTCTGCCGTGTTTTATTAGCTTCACTATATCCGTACCGTTCTACACTTGGTATTTACAACTCGTGATTCATGCGACACCGCCAGATGCCATCCGGTGGTATCGTGGACCTGCATTCCTGTACGACCAAGCCAGGGAGTGGTTAGAAGAAAACGTGGAAGATACAAACGAAAAACTTCGACCAGCATTCGTCTGTCCGCATTTCATCGTCAAGCCAACAGTTGAATTTGAACGGTTCTTAAAGTTCGAGCGTTTGAAGCGATGCATTGCGTATGTCCATCGATTCCTGGACAACCTACGTCGAGCGTCCACGGGTAGTGTTCGAGTTACAGCGAAAGAATTAAGCCGAGAGGAATTGCAAAAGGCGGAGTGCACTTTGTGGATACTGGTACAGTCGGACGCATATCATGCGTCCGAGGTGGCAACGATGAAAAGTAACAGAGAACCCGAGAACGAAGTAAAGCAACTGGAGCGTTCGAGTAAAATTGCGAAGCTGTCTCCGATGATGGATGAGCACGGAATCCTTCGAGTAGATAGTCGGATCGGTGCAGCAGAGTATTTGGCGTACGATGCAAGATACCCGATCATCCTACCACATGATCATCGTGTGGCGATGCTACTGCTGGATTGGTATCATCGTGACTTTCGTCATGTCAACGATGAAACAGTGGTGAACGAAATTCGCCAAAGATTTTGCATACCTCAGTTGTGGACACGCGTACGCCTGACGAAGACTCGATGCATGTGGTGTCGAGTGTACAAGTCCGTTCCAGTGGCACCGAAGATGGGACCGCTACCAACGGTAAGGTTAACGCCGCATGTACGTGCCTTCACTTTCATCGGGGTCGATTATTTCGGGCCGTACTTGGTAAAAATTGGTCGGAGCGTAGCTAAACGTTGGGGTGTGGTATTCACGTGCTTAACTATTAGAGCCATACACATCGAGGTAGCAAGCAGCCTGTCATCCGATTCGTGCAAAAAAGCAATGCGCAGGTTCATTGCGCGACGTGGAGCTCCTCAAGAGATCTACTACGACTACGGTACCAATTTTGTCGGGGTCAGCCGGGAGCTGAAAAGGGAAATCGAGGGAATCAATCCGAAGTTAAGCAGTACCTTCACGCGGAAAAAAATGATCAACTCTCGGCCTTTGACCTTCGTTTCACTGCAGACGTCAGACCAGGAAGCGATAACCCCAAATCACTTCCTGCTGTTAAGTTCAACTGGAGTACAACAACCGATAAAACAGCCTGTAAGCGAAGGAGAGTCATTGCGGAGCAGTTGGGACATGATGCAGCCCACGTTGGACAGGATCTGGCAAAAGTGGATCACCGAGTATCTGCCGACGATAACAAGGAGGACCAAGTGGTTCCAAAATGTGCGACCAGTCAAAGAGGGTGAGTTGGTAGTCATAGCGGATGTAAGGTCAGGAATAGGTGGTTGAGAGGTCGGGTAGTGCGTACGTTTCCTGGAAAGGATGGAACCGTGCGACAAGCTGAGGTAGTGACGCCAAAGCAGAAACTGAGGCGACATGAGGGGGAGGATGTTACGTGCAAGCCCCTCGTATGCAAGTGAGCCACTGCGATAACCAACGTCTCGCAGATGACTGCGGTGACGTTTAGATGAGAGCCATGTCATGTCATGAAGATGTAGCGATGACAGACTGATGAGTTTACATTTCGTAAAGAGTGGATGATATTCCACGATTAGTTCTTCGTAAGATTTTTTTCTATATTTATACTTTACTTAAAATTAACTTAATTATTGGAATTGCAGTATTTATACCCAAGTCTACTTATTAAAATAGTATTTGTTCACTTAAAATTTAGCAGAGATTAAAATGTAAGTGGATTTAAATTACAACTATTGTTCTTAAAACTAACCTAATAAAAATTGCAGCTTGAGCAACAACTACTACAAACACAAAAAAAGAGTTTTGCTACAAGACTCCGAACTAAAGCGAACAGTGACAGAGCTCCTTGCTAAGGATTAGCTTGGACTGATTTGGTGTGATTGTTCCTTTTTTCTACTGTTATCTATTAAAACTTACATTTGATTCTGATGAGACTCTTCCTTTTTATTTGTTTGCATTATATTTCAATCAACATTCTTAAAAACTTCACCAAGGTCGCAAAATTTCGACTAGCTTGGTGGCTGCCGCTTTTGCTTACTGAGTAGGAAACCGTGGGTTTACTCCTAGGCTCCTTAAGCGAATCCTGACCTACCTCCGATCCAACTAGCCAACTCCTTGGCATCTATGGGGCATCGGCAAAGGGATGGTCACTCCGCACAGTGTGCCAAAAACAAGCTTGGGCACACCTGGGCACAGTCATTGGCACTGTTTGGCACCCTTGGTTGCAATTTTACTGATCTTTAAAGTTACTGGCAACACTGAACTTTTTCTGCACCTGCGCAGTGTCAAAATTTGCTATTGATGTTGCCACAATATAATCAAATTATTTTCAAAGCACAACCGTGAATCTCCACCAAGTCTCGCCATGGATTCTCAAAATCGTTACACCCGTGATGGCAGTCGCGTCCACATTTCCTCCCAGACGAAGATCTGCTGACAGCGGTACCTTGACCTGACCAAGGTTTCCGGCCATGGCTACACGAACTAGCGATGCAGCTCCCATCATTTCCATTCATTCAATGTTGTTCGAGTGCTGGATGCTACGTTTGACTGGGTTGACTGTGATGGCGTCTCGCATCTGAACCACGGTGGTACCCTCTTTGGTCTTCAGGAATTTCCTGACAAAATTTCCGTACAGGCAGAACAGATGGAACAGCTTATCGGTGTTAGCTGTGTTGTTATCGAGTCCGTAGACTATCATCACTGCACCCTGTTGCTGTGCCGGTTGAATAAAGTTGGCTGATCCGTTTCGGGTCAGCGATGCGTCCTTCATCAGTACGACGTGTGTTCCGGCCGGTGTTGGTTTCCAGTTTTCCGACGGGTGATACACGGGCGGTGACAAATTTGGTGCAAATGCGTTTTCTCTGCCGGCTCCCAGAAGGGCTGGTTGACTAATGATTGAAGGATCGTGTAGCAACGGAACTCGTTCGTTGCAGGCATCCTTGCAGACGGCTGCATCCAATGTGTAGTTCCAACTGGAGTCCGTGTTGTTTTTGTAAACATTGAAAAACATTGTTAAATTCCGGGTTGCCAAACAAGGCATTATTCACAAGCAAACAAAAGTCAGTTCAATGACTTCTTGGCACTGCCGGCACAGTTGCGGCACACTGAGGGACACTGAGAAAATGTTTGACGCAAAATAAGTGTGTAGAGTGACCACCCCTTGGGCGTCGGTGAATCGATGTTAAGTAGATGTTAAATCAACAATATCCGTCCTTTCCCGGTAACGGGGAAGAAGGGAGTGGCCGGCATTGGTAATTGTCATGCTTTCCTGTAGTGAACTTTGATTGGAGAGCTATTCACTCCGAAATAGTTTTCCTTAAGCAATTAGAATGAGAACGTTAAAGTAGATACATGACAGTTGCCAGTATGCAATCTACGAATAACTCCGTTACAAACGCAACGCAACGCAATCAGCTAAAAAATATTGCAATTCGAAAAACAAAACTTTAATTTGAACTATGGACGATTGCATTTCAGGATGGGACTGATATGTGATTATTTTGCTCGATGGTAAAAACTGACTTGATGTTGTTTTCAAATTTGTCATGATCAAAGTCCATAGTTTTGTCACATAATATAAAAGTAGATGCCAATTAATAGTGTATAGCGTTGTTATATCAAAATTAACGAAAATCCTGATATGAGATTATAGGCAGCGTAAGTCCTATACAGCTACAAGTAACTTCACTACGATTCGATAGTGTAGTGGTGGATCAAGGGGTTGAAAAATTAACCCACTCTAATGGGCAGCGCACGTCCATAGGAAGGTACTTAGCAAGATAATTAACGACTCAGTGGCGAAGATTTCACTTTTCACCTCGTTCGTCACATAACGACAATTGAGTGCCAATCTATGTTTTATGAGCCATTATTTAGTTAGTGGCTGATTTCCAGCTGGCAACCACTAGTTGATGAGGGTAGCAAGAATGTATACAGACGGTGTCGGTCTTGAACTGAATTAGCTGTTTATGAGTGTACCAGCTAGTGAATCGAAATACGAGACCCGCAGCGTCAAAAAAGATGAGATATGCTGATGCTGGTATAAATCACTTCATATACGGATAACATATACATTGTACACGTATAAGTGTACAACTAACAACTACATTACAAATTCAATTTCTTAAAAGAAACATTAGGCACTCAAGTTCGGTTTGCATGATTGGTTTTAAACACAACTCAGACAAAAAAAATGCTTTATTCAATGAGAATTAAATTCATTCAAGAACAACCGAAAAATCCAAATGTTCTAGGGAAAACAATGCATACTTGTTTTGACCGGAAAACCATAAACGAGTGTGGTGCTTTCGGTGGCGGAACATTCAAACTATTCCCCCTGTCATTTGAATGCCGAAATTTATATTTGCACCGCACGAAGGTAGCATCCATTTGATGAAAAGTCGGAAAATACCATTTCAATCCCCTGCCCGTGGAACTGCTGCGATGAACCCATTGTACAGGGTGTAACCTAAGTGAATAGTTGTTTAAATTTTCCTAAACCACATGAAAGAAAAACCGTGTGAGTTAGTTCCAGCAGGTTCCATTTGGACGAGAGCTTTTCTGTTGTAAACATTTTGCGGTTTACTCAACCGACCATTCACAATGTACCGCATACAGCTGTGTGTGCATTGGTGAAATGGAAATTTTGGAAGGTGCGTGTCTGTCCTAGAGTTTGCCGGACTGATGATTTCAACCACTTTTGTATAATCAGTTAGAATAACTCGAGTTTGGCTAAATAAGAAATGCAGATCGTTTATTCCGGTAGGTAATTAAATTTGCCAAATTGTTAGCAATCTATTGTAGGACCCATTATCAACACATTCCCGGGCTTATTCACAAACCGGCTCGATCTCTCAATAGAACTACACACCGAAAGTGTGGCATCCGAACTCGGAGAACTACGGCTTCCGGGAGGCAATTAAAACCGACACCGGACAATGGAACTGAAGCTGCGTCGTATATTTTGGAGGTTTAGATTCAAGGTCAACCCAGTCAGTCAAGCCAAACACAGGCAAAACACGATATATCACTGAATAATAACTTTATGAACACTTGAAACACTTCTCTTCGGAAGTGTCAACAATTTTGATCCATTTTGAATTGCCGGAGAAATGACTGTGTTATAAATTAGTCTCCTCATTTCCCAAGGTGGTTTAAAAGGTTTACAAAATTGGACAATAGGTTTTGCTGATTTTATTGCATTTACGCATCTCTGTCTTATTATTGCTGGACGATTAAGTGTACTTGTAAGATGCACTCTAAGATATTTCATTGCATTATATTATATGCATTAAAATGTCCTTCAACTCCATCAATCTCCTTGCAGGCGCCCGGAAATCATACTGAAACGAGAATTATTTTTTTTTCATACATCCGTGTCCCAGCCTAGAGACAGGCACATCATCGACAACCCGCCGCCGGTGTTTTAATTCTGCCAAATTTCATGTTGGGTCATATCTTTGAAAAATAGGCTTTTATTTTATAGAATGGACCTTGCTGAATCAATAAGTGAACATTGAACCGGGTTTGTAATTCGAAAAGTATTTTTTTTCGAAATTTGGTTTTCCTTTTCTGCTAAGTTGGATTGTGATACTATCCTTTGAAAGTTATGCTTAGATTTCATAGAATTGGCCTTGCTGAATTCATATGTGATGATTTTTAAGCACACACAAAACCAGCTCATTTCACTGCGTCCTAGCAAGAAGAACGGTCGACTTGTTTCGCGCTCCGTTAATTTGGAAGTTTTCTCGCTATTATCTGACGTAAATAATCAGTTTTTTTCTCGCTTAGTGATTCCTGGCATAATTCCCGATAAATTTATCAAAAAGTGAGTTTTTTTTTCTGAGAAGAAAGTGTGTTTTCGGCATCATCGGAAGGAAATTTTTTTTTTGCGATTGCCAATTCGCCAACCATTTTGCGCACCATCGGTGCGTGGTCACGCATACCTGTGCACACGGATCATCGTCATCGAGTGTCAGCATCTGCCTCCACATTCAAACCGCTCATCCATCTCGTGTGTTCAGCTGAGTGCCGAGCTTCATACAAGCACACACCAACGAAGACCGCCCGCACACGCGGATCGAAGATCATCAAAGCTGCGCGTCGCTCCGCTGCTGCTGTGTAAACGCTCGGTGGTAGTAGTATAGGATTATCAGATAAGTTTTTGTTCTTGTTTCTTTCTTTCTCCCATCAGTTAAATTTTAAGTTTGTGTTTCTGTGTTTGTATTTTTTTCTCGTGTATTGTGTCCGAGTAATTTTGATTATCGTTGCAGTGGTAGAGCGTTTTTCGCTCCCACTAGTACGGCAAAATGGACATTTTGTCGGAAGACGAAATGGACGTTTTGTCGGAAGATGACACCACTTTGCCACGCGATAGCAAGAAGGGTCGAAAACGTCTGTCATCCCAGAAATCAGATGATGCCATCCCTGCTTCGTCATCTCAGTCTGGTAATGGACAGGGACAGATAAGCCCCCGATCGCGAGCCTACCCAGAAGACTCGACTGGCCCATGGGTTGTTTACTTTCAGCCCAAAAAGAAACCTTTGAATGTAATGCAAATTACTAATGATCTGACGAAGCGGTTCTCGGCCGTGACCGAAATCTCGAAGGTGAGGTACAATAAACTTCGCGTTGTCGTCTCTAACCTGAAACAAGCTAACGATATTGCTGCCTCCCAGCTCTTTACACTCGAGTATAGAGTGTACATCCCAGCTCGTAATGTGGAGATCGAAGGTGTGGTCACCGAAGCGAGTCTGACCCCCGAGATCTTGGCGAAGCAAGCGGTTGGCCGTTTCAAGAACCCCTTGCTTCCCACGGTTGAGATACTGGAAGTCCAGAAGCTGAACTCAGTATCTTTCAGCGAGGGTAAAAAGAGCTTTACCCCCACAGACTCGTTTCGAGTGACCTTTTCTGGTTCAGCCCTTCCTCACTACATCGAGTTGGGAAAACTTCGGCTACCTGTGCGTTTGTTTGTTCCTCGGGTCATGAACTGCCAAAACTGCAAACAGTTGGGACATACGGCCTCTCACTGTGGCAGCAAGGCACGCTGTTCCAAATGCGGGGAGAAGCACGAGGATGGCGCCTGCACAGTCACTGCACCAAAATGCGTGTACTGTAAGGGAACTCCTCATGGTCTCTCATCGTGCCCGGCGTACAAACAACGCGGGGAGAAACTAGAACGCTCTCTTAAGGAGCGTTCCAGGCAGTCTTTTGCAGCAATGCTAAAAACAGCCACACCATCAACCAACGACAAAAATCCCTTTGCTGTTTTGTCTGATGACGAGTCTGACTCTGACTTGGCTGAGGAGGGAGTTTCTTTCAGTTTTCCGGAAGGTTCTGCACGGAAACGAAAACGCATCCGTTCGCGGAAAGTTGCAGATAAGGAACCCCAAATCAGCTTGCCCAAATCAAGGAGTGATGGAAAAAAGGAAGTTTCAACTCCTCCTGGTTTCCGCAGAACTGATTATAACCAGAACTTTCCATCTCTCCCGGGGACATCAAAAACCCCTGATGGCCCATTTTTAAGAACAGAAGCCCCTTCTTCATCCGGGTTGTTCTCATTTGATAAAATTGTGGACGATATTCTCAAGTACCTCAATATTTCTGATCCTCTCAAAAGCATTGTTCTGGCAATGCTTCCTTCTGTGAAGACCCTCTTGAAGCAATTGACATTGAAGTGGCCCCTCATTGCAGCAATCATTTCCTTCGATGGATAATTTTCCAAACGAGGTCGGGGATTTGATCACTGTTCTACAGTGGAATTGTCGAAGTCTCATTCCTAAATTAGATTCTTTTAAGTTTTTAATTCACAATAATGATTGTGATGCATTTGCTGTTATGATTTTAACATTATTCGACTGGATCGTGAGGATTCGCGTGGAGGAGGGGTACTTTTGGGGATCAAAAAGTGCCATTCCTTCTATAGAGTGAATCTTCCACAATTTCCAGGTATTGAAGTTGTTGCATGTCAGGCTATTATTAAAGGTAAGAGCCTTTGTATTGCTTCTGTTT